AATAATTTGTTATTGGTGTGAATTCTTAAATGTTTCTGTTAGGTACATTTTTGATAAAAAATTGCACACATAAATGGTTTTTTTATTACGATGAGTTTTTAAATGTAAATACCTATGTTTTTTTTTTTTTATTAAAATGAATAACTAATATTGCTTGAAATTAGATTTCTTCTTAAATTTTATGGAGCAAATATCACACTCGAATACTTCTCTATTAGTGTGAATTTTCTATGTGTTTCTGTAAGCCAATTTTACGAATATATCTTTTGGAACAAATATGGCATTGAAATGGTTTTTCTTTACCATGAAGTAGTAAATGGTGTTGTAAATTAGATACCTGATGAAATGTTTTCGAACAAATGTCACAAGTGAATGATTCTTCATTAGTGTGAATTATCAAGTTTTGCTGTAGATTAGATTTATGATTAAATTTTTTTAGACAATTATAGTCATTTTTGAATGATATTTCATTATCGTGAAGTAATAAATGTTGTTCTAAACTACATTTCTCAGTAAAGTTTTTGAAACAAATGTTACAATCAAATGATTTTTTATTAGTGTGACTTTTTAAATGATTCTGTAAGGTACATTTCTGAGTAAATGTTTTGGAACAAACTTCACACCCAAACGGTTTTTCATTAGTGTGAATTCTTAAATGTTGCCATAAGGCATATTTCTGATTAAATTCTCTAAAACAAATGGCGCACATGAATGGGTTTTTATTACTGTGAGTTTTTAAATGTTGCTCTAAATTAGATTTCTGATTAAATTTTTTGGAACAAATATCACACTTGAATGCTTTTTCATTATAGTGAATTTTTAAATGTTGCTGCAAATTGGATTTCTGATTAAATTTTTTCGAACAAATATCACATTTGAACCGTTTTTCGTTACTTTCGATCATTAAATGTTGCAGTAAGTTGGATTTCTGGTTAAACGTTTTAGAACAAATGTCACATTTAAATGGTTTTTCTTTAGTGTGAATTATTAAATGTTGTTTTAAAGTATATTTCTGATTAAACGCTTTCAAACATGTATTACATTTATACAACTTTTCAGGTTCATCAGAATGAACTGTCATATGTAATGATAATTCAGAATTACAACTAAACTGTTCGAAACAAATATCACATTTAAAGCGTTTATCAGTAGGACCTTTTTTCGCGAAAACATTCAAACTTTTCTTAATATTGAATTGTTTGGAACTAACATCACAATTTACCTCTTCCTTGTAACTATGAACGACAGATTGATTCCAAAGGTTGTAATGATATTTTACATTCAGAGAACAAATTTCAGACTTAAAGGGCTCCACGAGAATGGTTTTCTTGCAATCAATTTTCTTTTTGATTTCTTTTTCATTTTGTTTTGACATTTTTCTTATTTTTCTGTTCACTGAATGGCCGAGATAGTGCAACAAAAACTCGAATTTTCCTACGAAGTATTTTCCACAAAACTTACACATTACAACAGATGGTTTTCTAAAATGTCTATTGTACCATTTTGATTGAGGACAATCTGTAATTACAAAAAAATAGATACTTTATTATTGAATTTCAAATAACAAGATTTTAGTTTTTAGTACGAGTATTTTGACATGAAGAGGGTTAATGTTTTGAGATTTATAAATTTATTAGATACAATCATAAAAAAGATGTTTTAACCATACGACACTGTCAACAAAATGTAGTTCCTAGTATAATAGTAGAGGGGGCGCTACCATCTCAATAGTATGAAAGCGATGTTGCCAGTTTGCATAATTTTTTATGAAATGAGAATTATTTCAAACGCATGAACCGTAATTTATTCGGTGGACGAGGTCTTCAAAAAGCCGATATACAAAACGCTAATAGAAACAATTTTACTGCCATCTTGATAGCAATGGAAAACCTACAAGTTTGGAAAATGACATTTTTATAATATGTTGTATTTAAGCAAGGCTAATTATTTAAGTCATCGTGTTGGAAATATTTCCAACATATTGCATCAATTCATAAGGCCAACCCCGTATAATAAATTCCGAGAATCAACTGTTGCAACATTAAAACTAATTTAGCGTTGCGTTTGATGTAAATAATATCTGAAAGTTTGAAGCTTGCGCTTATACAGGGTGATTCAAAATTGAGTGCAAAGATTTTAAGGGCGTATTTACCAAGAAAGCAGTGCCGTACCATAATTTTACCTATAAGTATCAAGTAGGTAGCCCCCTGAGACGCCACTGGAATTAATAAATTTATTTTATACTCACCAAAGGAAGGCCCTTGTGACGACAAATAAGCCTACCAAATTTTATCATAATCGGCTGAAAGGTTTTTGAGTAATTGATAAAAAACCGATCTTTTTTTAAAAACTTTGAAAACGAAGTTAGGACATATGATTATATGAAAAAAATTTCTTATTTTTGGCGTACATACGTCCTTAAAATCTTTGCACTCAATTTTGAATCACCCTGTATAACATCATTTTTTGCATAGGCTTTTTTAAGGGCTCCATCGCTGCATAGACTGCAATGAAAGTGAGTGAGAGTGAAGGAAATATTTGTAATTTAACCTTTCGAAAGTAACATAAGGTATATTTGCTAATTCAGAAAGAAAAAGAAGAAATTAGTTACAACTGTATTTTTTTGTGAAGAACAATCTGAACAACGTAAACTACTATTACATTATAGAGTACAATGAAACACACTAATAACTGTAACACAACGTAAAGTTTTTCGATGGGATATTTTGAACAAGACTCTAAATGATACATGATATTTCTTTATAACGTTAACGTTTTTTTCTAGTGTGAATTTTTAAATGCTTCTGCATGTTACATTTGCGACTAAACTCTTTAGAACAAATGTCACAAGTGAACGGTGTTTCGTTAGTGTGAACAATTGAATGTTGTTGTAAATTATTTTTCGTTCTAAATTCTTTGGAACAAATGTCACACTTGAATGGTTTTTCGATAGTGTGAACTAATAAATGATTACGTAAGATGCGTTTGGATTTTAATGTTTTTGAACAAATTTCGCATTTGATTGATTTTTCGTTGGTGTGAATTAGTAAATGTTGTTGCAAAGAATATTTCACATTAAATTTTTTAGAACAAATATCACACTTATACGGCTTTTCGTTACTGTGAGTCAGAACATGATTCTGTAAATTATTTATATAATTAAATTGTTTTGAACAAATGTCACATTTAAATGGTTTTTCGTTAGTGTGAATTATTAAATGTCGTTGTAAAGTTGGTTTCCTGTTAAATGTTTTGGAACAGATATCACACTTGAATGGTTTTTCGTTAGAGTGAATTATTAAATGTGTTTTTAAAATTTGTTTCATGGTAAATTTTTTGGGACAAAAGTCACACTTAAATGGTTTTTCGTTAGTGTGATTTATTAAATGTTGTTGTAAACTAGATTTCAATCTAAATTTTTTAGAACAAATGTCACATTTAAATGGTTTTTTGTTAGTGTGAATCAATAAATGAGTACGTAAGTTATATTTGTAATTGAATTTTTTTAAACAAATTTCACATTGCAATGAATTTTTATTGGCGTGAATTATTAAATGCCTCTTTAAATAACTTTCCTGATTAAATATTTTAAAACAAATGTCACACTTAAATTGTTTTTTATTAGAATGAAGAATTAAATGCCTTTGCATGTTGCCTTTTCGAGTAAATTTTTTGGAACAAATTTCACATTTAAAAGTTGTTTCATTTTGGTGAATTATTAAATTATCCTGCCGAGTGCTTTTGTCATTAAAGTTACAAACATTTTCAATTTTAAAAACGTCATTACTATTTTGATACAGATTTTTTGTTTTATTTTTCACTATATGAATGAAACAGTGGCGAAAAAAATCAATCTTATTCATTAATTTACCACAAAACTTACAAACTACGAAGCGATTTCCAAAATGTCCATCGACATGTTTCGATCTTGATTTAGAAGTAGGAAAATCTGTAAATTAAAAAATACCGTTGAATCAGGATTCTGTCAAAAAATTTTTACAAGATTCAAAAAATGAAAATGATCAAGTTCCTTCCATTTAAAAATATTTTAGAACCGTAATACAATCCTTAAGAAATTTTAAAAAAATTCCAGGTGTGAGGGTGGTTTTAATCCTTTCGGTTTCTTTGATTACTACAAGTAGGGTAATCCTCTAAAGCAGGGATACTCACTACGCGGCCCTCGGCAATATTTTGTGCAGCCCTCGGGTTGATGAGTTCAGACAAATTTTTTTATGACTTATCCAAGAACGTAAAACAAATTTTGAAAAAGGTTGTGATTGATACAAACTTTTTATAAGCAATGCCAATACTACAAAATAGTAACGTGCAGTACTTTTTTTACTTGGAGGCACAAGGGTGGTATCGTGTTGTGAATGAGTAGGGTGGAGTGAGTCAGCCGAGCAGAGCAGAGCAGGCGCGAGCGTGCGACACAAGACTGTAGTAGTAGTAGTAGTAGCAAGAGTATTTTGCACCGCTCCACTGCGCAACTATTTCCGCGCAACTTCCCGAACAGTTCCGAATCGTTACGGAGAAGCGTAGCGCGACGTCCTACTGTAAACAGCTGATTCAGTTCGTGCATCGACAAGTCGTGCACCGTCTGCTTTGTCGTTCATTGTATTTGGCGCGTGCAAGTTGCTCAGTAAATATTACCTTATTTCGAGTGTTGTAGATTAGTGCAGTTACTTTCTCGAAAATTTTCATCGCTTCAGTTACTGTTGAACATTATTACTAAATATGGCGTGAATGTTTTCAAAAGGAAACTTGAGGAAGAAAACTGTGACTTTCGAAATAAGTGGGAGAAAGAATTATTTTTTACGAAAGGTAAGAAAGAAGGAACAGCTTTATGTTTAATATGTCGTGATGTGGTATCGGGAAATAAACGTTACAACTTGCAAAGACACAATTTGAAGAAAAGTTTCCAAAAAAGTCTAAACTCAGAGGAAAAATTACAATCCTTGAAAAAAGCTTTTGTTTGTGAACGAAACATACTTTTTAATGCTATGAACAAGAATGAGCTCACTACCAAAGCATCATATCTTGTAACTGAAATTTTAGCTCGTAAGATGAAGCCATTTTCAGATGCGGAAGTAGTAAAAGAATATGTTGTTACAGTTTGTAAAACATTGTTTTCGCATTTACCTAACGGTAAGAAAATACTAGACAAGGTTTCAAAACTCCAGCTGTCTGATTCAACGTGTATGAGACGATTAAAATATTTAGCTGCAAATATTTTAATTAATCTTACTGATAAACTGCAACAAAGCAAGTGTTTTAGCCTTGCACTTGACTCATCGACTGATATAACGTCAATATCCCAATTGCTTTTGTTCGTTAAATATGTAACCAAAGATGGTGATGTTAAAGAAAATATTTTCGGCACAGTTCCTATGAGTGGTCAAACTCGAGGTGTTGATTATTTTGACACAGTAGTTAAATTTTTTAATGAATGTAGCATTGACTTGAAATAGTATATTACATTACGAGTGTGGAAAGTGACATTTTTCACACGAATGGGAAATATTGTCGCACAAGGCACAAGCCGAGTGCGACTATCACACGAGTGTGGAAAATCACTTTTCACACAAGTGATGTACAATATTTTTCATACGATCACAAAATAATTTCATCAAAAAATGTAAAACCAGGTTATTATTATAATAATTAAAATATATTTAAAAAAATAATCAACAATAATCGTTCAATTTTCATATTTTCTAAACAAAAAAAAAAACAAAAAAATTCTGGCCCCGCCAGGATTTGAACGCGGTTACTCGCCAGGTCTCAAATGGCAAAGTTGATAAGTTTGACGCTCTAACCATCTGAGCTAATAGGTCTTGCGTCAATTGAATGATCTAATCGGTTATGTGTTTAACCAGAATAAAGAGCAAACATATCTTAGTTATTTTAAAATTATTTTAATAATAATTGTTAAAGATAAATATCTAGGATATAATTTACAACAATTTCAATAATTTAACAATTAAATCGATTTTAGTATTAATATGGACATTACATAGATCAAAATAGAAATGATGTGTTTGACATTTTGTGACAGCTGCTGCGGAAAGTAGCATATTCGTACACGGGTGGAAAGTAAATTCTTATTCATACGCGTGTGATATAGAGCACTTTCCATAGGACTATATAGTGTGATATGTGTCACTTTCCTAAGTGGTCGTAGGAAAAAGCTTTTTCCAGTGTGCACAGATGGTTGCCCATCAATGACAGGGCGAAATATCGGGTTCGTTAAATTGTTAAAGAACCACTTGGAAAATGAAAATATAATCAGTATTCACTGCATCATTCACCAAGAAAGTTTAGCAATAAAGTGTGATGAAAACTTTAAATGTGTTATGAAAGTAGTTATAAATATTGTGAACTTTATAAGGTCAAATGAATTGAACCACAGAATGTTTCAGGAGTTTTTTAAAGAACTCATATGTCAATACGGAGATGTACTTTACCACACAGAAGTAAGGTGGTTAAGCAAAGGTAAAGTTTTGGAACGATTCTTCAAAATTCGTTATAAGATCACTCTATTTTTGGCTACTAAGAAAAAAGAGTACCCTGAAGTTTATGATTTTGGTTGGTGGTTAAAAGTAGCGTTCCTTACTGATACAATGGCCATTGTCAATGAAACATTGACCCGATTGCAAGGAGATCAGAACAAAATTGTTACGAAAATGACGAGTGTTGTGTTTTTTCGAGAAGAAAAATTCAGTATTTACATTAAAGAATTATCAAACAATGATTTGCTTTGATAAAACTACTTACCGATCTGAAAAACGAAATGTTTGAGAGGTTTAGTGACTTCAGGATGTATCAAGAACCATTTCGTTTAATAGAGAATCCATGGGCATTAACAAATGTTAATGTTGCAAAACTCGCTATTTTTGGATACGAAGCCAGAGACTTGAAAAAACGAGCTAATTGATCTTCAGCAAGATACAGAGCTGAAAACCATGTTTGAGGATAAAAAAAAGGATACAAGTAATTTTAAGTTTTGGAAAGTGTTGGAAATGACAATTAATATGTTTTTTTTGGCTATAATAAAAAACCAAATTTTCTCATTTTTTTATTACGAAATAAAGCACATTGTGTGACATTTAGGTTTCTAATTTAATTTCCTTTTCTAATAACACAAAATAGTCATTCCTTAATTGTTTTAATAAAATCATATGTGCTCTGCAAGGTCATATATTTAAATAATTATCTAAAAGATAGCTGTCATTTCAATTTGATAAATGTGTAATAGCTCATTTCTTTGCTCGTTGAACAATATATGTTTTATTTTGTACGACTGTACGACAAAACTACAATTTCACAATTTTCGGCTAAGAATTAATGTGACATCTACGTAATGTGACGTATAATTTCATTTCCTCATATGATAACACAATATTATACCTACTGCTAGAAAATGAGTACAATTCTTTGCTCGTTAAGCAATATAGTGTTTTGTGTTACCATACGTGCTTTTTGAATTTGTACTTTTATTTTAAATAAATAGGTTAATTAATTGTAATCATTATCAACAAGAGTATGTTATTTTGTTTATTATTAGTACATACTCTCCTAATTTCAAAAAAAATAAATAAATGAAACTCTCGACGAGACAATAGAAAAGGGAAATTTAAATTGTCTCTATCTTTAATAAGTGAAGATTGATATCCAGTGTCCAGTAAATCGCCGACGAATTAGTTTTAACACGTCGGGATTTTTTGTCATTCGCGGCACCGAACTGTTCCGAGGGCCTAACATGTCGGCAGTATAATATGCCGCCCGTGATAGCAGAGTGGTAGCAGCACCTGGCGGCCAATTTTAATTAAAAAACGCAATATTAATCCCATTTAAAAAGTAATTACTTTTTAAAAAAATAAAGAGCGTCAGAAATTTTTAAATTTATTATACATTGGGGCAGAAACATTAAAAATTTACTTAATTAATGAAAGAAAATTAAAAAAAGATTGCTTCTGCCCCAAGCAATAAATATTGATTAATAACTGAAAAAATTTCATGAAAATCAGATGAAAAATAGGGCGTATGGCTTTAAACTAAACTTACGAGATATCCTGGTTGCTCTTAACGTTTTTTCTAGTGTGAATTTTTAAATGCTTCCGCATATTACATTTACGACTAAACTCTTTAGAACAAATGTCACATGTGAACGGTGTTTCGTTAGTGTGAACAATTGAATGTTGTCGTAAATTATTTTTCGTTCTAAATTCTTTGGAACAGTTGTCACACTTGAATGGTTTTTCGATAGTGTGAACTAATAAATGATTACGTAAGGTGAGTTTGGATTTTAATGTTTTTGAACAAATTTCGCATTTGATTGATTTTTCGTTAGTGTGAATTAGTAAGTGTTGTTGCAAAGAATATTTCACCTTAAATTTTTTAAAACAAATATCACACTTAAACGGCTTTTCGTTACTGTGAGTCAGAACATGATACTGTAAATTATTTATATATTTAAATTGTTTTGAACAAATGTCACATTTAAATGGTCTTTCGTTAGTGTGCATTATTAAATGTCGTTGTAAAATTGGTTTCCTGGTAAATGTTTTGGAACAGATATCACACTTGAATGGTTTTTCGTTAGAGTGATTTATTAAATGTGCTTTTAAATTTTGTTTCATGGTAAATTTTTTGGGACAAAAGTCACACTTAAATGGTTTTTCGTTAGTGTGATTTATTAAATGTTGTCGTAAACTAGATTTCAATCTAAATTTTTTGGAACAAATGTCACATTTAAATGGTTTTTTGTTAGTGTGAATCAATAAATGAGTACGCAAGTCATATTTGTAATAGAATTTTTTTAAACAAATTTCACATTCCAATGAATTTTTATTGGCGTGAATTATTAAATGTCTCCTTAAATAACTTTCCTGATTAAATATTTTGAAACAAATGTCACACTTAAATTGTTTTTTATTAGAATGAAGAATTAAATGCCTTTGCATGTTGTCTTTTCGAGTAAATTTTTTGAAACAAATTTCACATTTAAAAGTTGTTTCATTTTGGTGAATTATTAAATTATCCTGCCGAGTGCTTTTGTCATTAAATTTACAAACATTTTCAATTTTAAAAACGTCATCACTATTTGGATATAGATTTTTTGTTTTATTTTTCACTATATGAATGAAACAGTGGCGAAAAAAATCAATCTTGTTCATTAATTTACCACAAAACTTACAAACTACGAAGCGATTTCCAAAATGTTCATGGACATGTTTCGATCTTGATTTAGAAGTAGGAAAATCTGTAAATTAAAAAATACCGTTGAATCAGGATTGTCAAAAATTTTTACAAGAATCAAAAAATGAAAATGATCAAGTTTCTTCCATTTAAAAATATTTTAGAATCGTAATACTACCCTTAAGAAAAAAAAAATACCAGGGGTGAGGGTGGTTTTAATCCTTTGGGTTTCTTTGATTACTACAAGTAGGGTAATCCTCTAAAGTGTACTTTTGCCAAAATGAATTAATTTGTTTCACGCATTTTTAACAGCGTACATAAATGTGATTTTTTAAGGAAACTTTGAGATCCTCTCACAGATATTTTGGTACATACATGTTAGCGATGTACCTCTGCTCCTCACCACACATTCTTGAAGTCCATACACATTTGTCTATATACATATATAACTTTGTCCCAGCAATTTTACAACACCATGCATATAAAATTCATCAATAAAAAGTTCTAAAATATCTACGCGGCGATTTTTTGATGGGCTGTTTGCGAATAAGAACTTTAACAGTATCAATATCACTATACAGAGCGAGGGAAAGTCAACTTTAATAGCCACATTGGATTTAAAAATACTCTGAACGGCATATAAATAAGATTTCTTTATAAATGTTAATGTTTTTTGATGGTGTGAATTTTTAAATGCCTTTGCAGGCTGCTATTGCGACTAAATTCTTTAAAACAAATGTCACATATGAACGATTTCTCGTTAGTGTGAACAATTAAATGTTGTTGTAAATAATTTTTCGTCTTAAATTCTTTGGAACAAATGTCACACTTGAATGGTGTTTCGATGGTGTGAACCAATAAATGATTATGTAAGATGTGTTTGAAATTGAATGATTTCAAACAAATTTCACATTTGAATAATTTTTCGTTGGTGTGAATAATTAAAT